GAGGAGGGAAGAGGAGAGAACGGTAGAAAGGAAGGGGATACGGGTGAGCAGGAAAGAGGATAGAAAAGGATGAAAAGAATGAAAGAGGGAGAGCGGGGGAAAGATGCAAAGCAGAGGATGAGAATAGAAGAGATCGAGGGAGAGCGGATGAAAGGAGAGAGGGGTGAGGATGAATGACGGAGAGGCAGGGAAAGGCGTAAACCAGAGGATGAGGATGGAAGAACGAGGGAAGGGAAGAGGGAGTTGGAAAAGGAGAGACCGGAAGAAGATGACGAAGGGAAAGAAGAGGGAGAGAGGAAAAAATATGAGAAAGAGAATAGGAAAGAGGAAGGAGGAAGGAGGGGAGCCGAGGGGAGGGGAGGGGAAGCGAGGGGGTGAGGGAGCGAGGCCAAAAGACACCCTGGTGGCGCACCCTGGCGTCGATGAGGTCTCTTTGTTGTCCTCGCCCTCTCGTGTCCCTTTCTCCCACACTGAGGTTATATTAGTGACGTGTGACGTGAGGAGGAGAAGGGGGAGGGGGAGACGGGAGGGAGGCGAGGGGGGGACGGAGAGGGGACGGTGTGGGAAGATGGAGGGCAGGGTGAGTGAGGGAGGCGAGCGGCGGGGATGGGAGGAAGCCAGGGAGGGAGTGGGGAGAGGAAAGGGATTAGGGAGGAGGAGGGGGAGGAGCTGGGGAGAAGAAAGAGGCGGGGAAGGAAAGGAAAACTGGGGAGATGAGGGATAATGGGAGGGGGAAAATGGGAGAAGGGGAGGAAGGCCAGGATGAGAAGGGTAGGCAGGCTGCTGGACAGAAGGGGATGAAAAGAAAATAAAGATTTGTAAATGAGAAGAGAGGCAAGAGGTAAACTGGGAAGGAGGAGGGAATAAAGGAAAATAGGGAGGGGAGATAAAAAGAAGTTTAGGAGGGGCAGTGGCGATAAGCACAGAAGGGGGGTGTCGAGGAAGAGGAGAAGGGAAGAAGGGAAGGGGAGATATAGAGAATGAAGAAGAGGAAGAGATATAGAGAATGAAGAGGAGGAAGAGATACAGAGAACGAAGAGGGGGGGATATAGAGAATGAAGAGAGGGAAGAGATATGGAGAACGAAAAGGGAGGAAAGAGATACAAAGAAAAGAGGGGGAAGAGATACAGAGAACGAAGAGAGGGGAAGACATATAGAGAACGAAGAGGGGGGGAAAGAGATATAGAGAATGAAGAATGAATAGAGGGAAGAGATATAGAGAACGAAGAGGAGGAAAGTGATATAAAGAGTGAGGAGGAGGGAGGGAAGGAAGGGGAGATAGAACACAGGGAGGATATGAAACCTCCGGACTCGACCACAATTCGAGGCTCGCTAATCGCCGCTCCGAGCTGTTCCCAAATGTTTCGCTCCGGAATAAAATAATAGCCTGTGCGGGCGGTCCTACTGCGGTAGGCCTAGCTAACCGGTGGAAGCAATGTACAAAACCCCCGCGCACGACAGCCAGGCCTACGGAGAGAACAGAAAGAGTATCCAAGCATATCTCTTGTAGTTCAAGATGATTGCCAAATTACCTCACTTCGAAGTTTAATCTCATCTTGACACAGACATGATGCAGTGCACTGACGCAGCGGCAGTCCACGTGGCGGTGCAGACCCGTCCCCTTCCCCTCCTCCTCCCCCGTCCCTCCCCCCTAAACTGTGTTTCTGACGGTCTCTCTCTCTCTCTCTCTCTCTCTCTCCTCTCTCTCTCTCTCTCTCTCCTCTCTCTCCTCTCTCCTCTCTCCTCTCCTCTCTCTCTCTCTCTCTCTCTTCTCTATCTCGTTCTTCCCCCCTCTCCCTCTTTGTTTCTCCCTCCCCCTCTCTCTTTCTTTGTTCCCCCTCCTCCTCTCTCTTTCTCTTCTTTCTTTTCTTTCTTTCTTTCTTCTCTTCTTCTCTCTCTCTCTCTCTCTTCTCTCTCTCTCTCTCTCCTCTCCTCTCTCTCTCTCTCTCTCTCTCTCTCTCTCTCCCTCTCCTCTCCCTCACCCTCTCCCTCTCCCTCTCCCTCTTTCTTCTTTCTTTCTCTTTCTCTCTTCTTTCTCTCTCTCTCTCTCTCTCTCTCTCTCTCTCTCTCTCTCTCTCTCTCTCTTCTCTCTCTCTCTCCCTCTTTCTCTCTCCCTCTTCTCCTCTCCTCTTTCTCCTCCTCCTCTCTCCTCTCCCTCTTTTCCCTCTCCCTCTTCTCTCTCCCTCTCCCTCTTTCTCCCTCTCCTCTCTCCCTCTCTCCTCTCCCTCTTCTCTCCCCTCTCCTCTCCCTTCCCCTCCCTCTCCCCTCTTCTCTCTCCCTCTTTCCTCTTCCTCTTTCTCCCTCTCCTCTCTACCTCTTCTCTCTCTCTCTCTCCCCTCTCCCTCTCCTGGCCAAGCCAAGCCTCGCCCCGACACACGACGAACCTGTTCTTGAATAATATGACAGGGAAGGCAGCGCCATGACAGGAAAATTGAGTCGAGACTGTCAGTGATGTGGTTATCTAAAATCTCAATGGCTGTTCATCCATAAAGCAATGCAAGTCGGATGCAACGATAAACAATAAATACACACCAGCGCAAGAAAGAAGGTGGAATACCAACAACAACCTAAACTCAAAAGAGAAACTAAAACAAGAAAGCGAAAATAAATAAATAAAAAAAATGTCTCGGCGTAACACGGAGTTGAAAAAAGACAGACTTCGCGAGAGAGGCTTCCCAAAATATCGATAAAGCAGACGACTTGAAGACGCCCTCTCGCTCCGGTGGCCGTAGTCGTCGCGGGTCGTCAAAACTTTGGCAAGTCATCACCGGGTTATTAAAAACCGCGACAAAAACCATAAGGAAATGTGGGGGGTTAAAAAAGCGGGGCTGAAACCAGGCTTAGAGTTCTCATTCGTAAGAGGCAAGAGGGTAAAAGGAGAAAGAGAGAGGGAGAAAGAAAGATGGGGAGGAGAGGGAGAAGGAGAATAGAAGAGAGGAGGGGAGGGAGGGGCAGAGGAAGAGAGTGATACAGGGAGTGAGTGAGTGAGTGAGTGAGTGAGTGAGTGAGTGAGTGAGTGAGCAGGAGAGAGGGGGAGAGAGAGAGAGAGAAGAGAGAGAGAGAGAGAGAGAGAGAGAGAGAGAGAGAGAGAGAGAGAGGAGAGAGAGAGAGAGAGAGAGAGAGAGAGAGAGAGAGAGAGAGAGAGAAAGAAGAGAGAGAGAGAGAGAGAGAGAAGAGAGAGAGAGAGAGAGAGAGAGAGAGAGAGAGAGGAGAGAGAGAGAGAGAGAGAGAGAGAGAGAGAAGAGAGAGAGAGAGAGAAAGAGAGAGAAGAGAGAGAGAGAGAGAGAGAGAGAGAGAGAAGAGAAAGAGAGGAGAGGCAACAGAGAGAGAGAGAAGAGAAGAGAGACAGAGACAGAGAGAGGAGAGAGAGAGAGAGACAGAGAGAGAGAGAGAGGAGAGAGAGAGAGAGAGAGAGAGAGAGAGAGAGAGAGAGAGAGAGAGAGAGAGAGAGAGAGAGAGAGGAGAGAGAGCGAGCAGCAGACAAAAGAAAGGCGCTGACACACACAGAAGAAGCACCAGGATAAGTGTCAACATATGGTAAGTAAAAACAGAAACATCTAGTCGTGTCAGTGGCGTGTTCGCAAACCATTAGTACCAAATATGGAATCTGATGAAAATACGAAGGAACAAATGACCCGTCACATGTCCTCCACGATCCCGCAACTCTCCGGCTTAATTGGATAACGAGTAGACATAAATTGTAAGTAAATTTGGGAGACAAAGCCCGCAAAATTATACGATTTATCTTTATAATGACTCGAGTGCACTCAAAAAGGCAAGTGCTTTCGAACAAGCATCTCTTGTGCGCCTCACGCTATTCTGTCGTCCTCCCCTGATGCATCATGGGAAAATTACACCTCGCAGGAATCCCACGGAACTCACAGTTGTAACAGCGGGTATCTCGGCACTGACCTCGTTCTAGAAACTACCGATAATACGATAAGAGAGGCGAGGGGGCATAGGGAGGGTATCCAGCCAATCGGACAGGAAAGAGCGAGGGATTACAAGAAGAAAGGGATATAACATCGCTGGTGATTACTGGTCCCGCACCCCACCCAGGGGACACACGGCTAGGGGTGAGGGATCCTAAATATAACATGCTTTGTTGAAAGGGGTTTTAGGGGTCTCTCACGAATCATTATTTCATTAATAGTGAATTAATTTAATCGTCATCAATAGAAAGCTAACCGGATGATGTCCAATTCTCGAAACAATCTAGAAAATGCTGAGAACAAATGGCATGTAGGTGAAGGGCCTGGCAACTGTCCCTACAACAGCTGGGTAGCGGCGGGACCTGAGAGTCTGGCCGTGTTGTGGTGGAAGACGTGGGGCCGCTCCATACACTCCATGCCTCGCCTGTGCCGTCAAGGTTGCAGGGATAATGCACAACCTTGGACCTACAATAACATAACGCATTCGGAAAGAAAGCTCTGTGCGAAGTATATTATCAATGCATTTTGAACTGACAAATAACATATTTTAAAACGGATAATTTAGGCAACAACTATGGCATCTACAATTTTACAACACGACCTAGGAGCAGCACGAGAGGATGCCATCATAGTGAGGAATTAAGAAATATGCTGACTGTTTCAACTTGAGGCACAAGCTCTGTAGCATGTACTGCCATTTACCACACCCTAATTCGAGCGGAAAGGGGCACACGCACATCGCCGCCATACGTGCCTGCGAGGCATGGCCAAACACACAGCGTAACGAAAGTACACGAAGTCCAAAATCGTGAGCTTTCAAGGCAAAAGAGAAATATCACCAAAGAAACTAAAAGCAACACAACAAGGAGAACGAAATCAAATGTCGCATGAGGAAGTGGCGCATTCACACACGCCATACAACCAACGGAAGCGGCAAAGCATGCATAATCTTGATGGATAAATTGTTGGATAAACACGAGTTCAACAAAGCGTGCGGCGTCTTCCATACATAAGAAACGCGAGTGGCTCACGAAATGGTCACTTGATGTTTGGGTTTTGCTTTGCACT